GCATCTATACTAGAATGAATCCATGGATAGCGTACCACATTGTGAAAAAATTTTTTTTGCAGTTGTTGTCCAGTGCATTAGCTAGCAGGTGATCAGAAAAGATCTTTGACTAAAAATAGATGGGACTTGAATGTGAAAGTGCGGAAGATCCAGCCCATTCTTTAGCTACATCCTATTGTTCTCATGCATAATCAGCCATAAAAGTAGGAAGGTCTCCAAAAATTTCCCACATAGGCTGTTTTGTAGAGCGTTTTATGGTGATCATTTTGGTAAAAAAACCGTTTTTCATCGAAAAATAACGAAGTTAGAGGCAAAATGTTAAAAAGCACTGAATTGCACTAGCACTCCATGCATGAGAACACTAGGATGTAGCTAAAAAATGGTCTGGATTTTCCGCACTTTCACATTCAAGTCCCATCTATTTTTGGCCAAAGATCTTTTCTGAGCACATGCTAGCTAATGCACTGGACAAAAACTGCAAAAAAAAATTTTTTCCACAATGTGGTACGTTTCCTGTGGATTCACCCATCATCATTAAGTAGCACAAAGTCATCCTAGGTAGAATTATCTTCTATTAAAATCGTTTGTTTTGATGTTGTAAAATAGATTTTTGTTCCACTAAATGAATCAGCTTTGATTCAATATAATAAAGTATTAAATTTTTATGCAAATCTTCGAGTTTATTTGATAACGCTTACATTAAATCTTCTCACATCAACATTAATTAGTATCAAATTACAGTTATCAGTCGTAGCTCGATTAACTCAAGCAACAAATCAATTGATACGAATAACTTCGGTAATAGGAAAAAATATTTCTTTTTATAAATTCTCGTTTGAATTTAAATAGATGACTACATTGAATTAAATGATCAAACAATAAAATAAATTCCAGTATCAACTTCATCTTTATATATTTATTTAAATATTGTATTTATTTCACAATAAATACAGCAGAAATATTTATGTTAGTAGAAAAACTTTTATTTGAATCTTAACTGGTTCCCCGAGTTTTTTAGTGCAAGCAATTGGATGTCAAAAGATGTGTCCTACTTGCGATCTATCGCTGGTAGAAAAAGAAGTCTAAATACTCGCCTATCGAAAAAGACCATTGTTCAAGTTTTGGACAGTTTTTGACCTATGGCGTTTTTATTACCCTATATGTCTGGCCCTTGAATCGGATGAATTTGTAGCCTATACTGTTTTCTGTCAAATGAGTCGTTCTCGAGCTCGAACAACCGATTCAATCGCGCGATAATGTCAAAATACAGAATACAACCTCAGAATAGCGATTTTTGGAGGTCAAAATGACCCCTTTATACTTGTTTCAGCTCGCATTTTTCATAGGCAAAACCGAATGACTTAATATTTTCGATTTAACTATGGTTTGATTAGACCTTTCATTGGCGATAATAAAATCGAAAAAATAATTTTTTTTCTGCGGCGGCTTAGGAGTCTCGTCTAGCGAATTCTCTCTTAAATATATTCTTATTAGATACAGGAAAAATGACAATCATCTTTTCTAATCATTATCATTTGATATTTTGTTGTAGTTTCATGATGAACTTATTTAATCGATCATATAATTCCATTACCAACACTTTAATATCTTCTCAAAATTTAATTGACCTGTCTGTGCTAATAATTTATACGTGAAACAAACAAGCATTCAAAAAAAAATAATCATCCACATCAGAATCTTCTCATATACTATTTATTCAGTATTTTGTTTTCCTTTTTCAACTATATGCAAATGATATTGTTAAATATACTACAATTGGCTCTTTCCTACATTACTTTTCAATCAGTTAGTCTTCGAAAATAGGTCAAGACATTAATGATTCCTGATGTTTTTCAAGTGAAATAAAACGTCATGAAAATTGAATAAATAATTCAGTTGATGCGGTTTTTAGATCATATATTCTGTCTTTCATTTATTCATCTTTAATTCAATTTTCAAGTTATTCATTCATGTTTTAAATAAGTAAAATTCGAGTGCATCGAAATAGCAAGAAAGTTTATTATATTGATCAAGAAAAAATTTTCTATACTACAAGAAAAAACAAGTCTTTTATTACGCTAATTTGTTAGTCAATTTTTAAAGAAATTCATGTTTAATAGAAAAAGTTTAGATTTGTGCTGTACCACCATCAACAAAAAGTTCAATACCAGTTACATATGAACTATCATCTGAAGCGAGAAATACAGCTGCTTTACCAATCTCGGATGCGTAACCAAGACGATTCATAACAGACATTGATGCGAGGTAGTTCATAACTTTTTCTGAAGTTTCTTCTGTACCACCGGCAGTTCTTAGCATAGGAGTATCTATGCCACCTGGACTAAGACAATTAACACGGATTTTTCGATCTTTTAAATCTACAGTCCAACAACGAGCAAACGATCGAAGAGCAGCTTTTGTTGCACTGTAAACACTTGCTTCTGGTGTACCTTTACTCCCCCATATAGATCCATTAAGAATAACTGAACCACCATCAACCAAGATAGGTAAAGCTTTTTGAACAGTAAATAATAGACCTTTAACATTAACATCAAATATATCATCAAAAAGTGTTTCTGGAATTGATCCTAATGGTGCAAAACCTAATATACCGGCATTTGCGAACACAATATGTAATTGTCCTTTTTCTTTTTCAATCACTTTCATGACATGGTCAATATCATCTAATTTAGCTGCATCAGCTTGAATAGCAGTAACATTTTTTCACCGATTTGTTCGACTGCTGCATCGAGAATTTCTTTTCGACGTCCAGTAATAAATACATAAGCACCTTCAGCAACAAATTCTTGAGCAGTAGCAAGACCGATTCCTTCCGATCCACCAGTAATAAGAGCAACTTTACCGTCTAGTTTCCCCATATTCGTTTCAAATTTTATATGAAACAAAAGTAAAGCTATTGTCTCGTTATTTATATTGCTGGACGTATGATTGTCTCATCATACTCTCCCTCGGACAAAAAAAACTATCATTTTCCATTTCACTTTTGCATCGTTTAATACGTTGTTTTAAAAAAACAAATATACCACGAGATGCAGCGTGAAAAGAACTACAATCTATAAAGTAAAGCTTATTTTAATTGTGTACTTTTTGCTTTCAAAAAAAA